AGCACATTTTTATCCCTTTTTCATGCAATTGAACATATGAAGGTTTACAAAAGGCTAGGAAAACTCCATTCAGTGGTTCAGCAAAGAATTCGAATTCCAGGTCTTTCTTTCTGAATTGCCAAAGCTAATTCAAATGCCATAAAAGCGTATTATTAACATTTAGCCTCAACTTATTGCAAGCAACGCCGTTTAAGTGCACCACTCAGTGATTGCTAATCAAGAGAAAAAAACTGTTCCTCAACAAATTGCTTACCCAAACCCAAACCATTCTTTTATGCTGGTTCCCTAATCTTTTAATAATCCACATCAAGTACTTTAACAATGCTAAGCCTGCACCTATTTATAACAGCTTTATTACACCTCTCTCTACCTCAGCATATTATTATAATTAAAAATAGACCAAGCAATTCCCTCACATTTTAGATGGCTTTTATTTAAAAAAGAGAAAAGGTTAAGAGGAGTCCACAAAAATGCAGGCTGTTTATTGTCAGCTCAGCCTGGAGCAGTTTATGATGTAAGCGAGAGAAGAGGTCTCCAAGGGCACAGTTCTCTGCCTGTTGGAGCTCCGGCTCAGTGCACAGAAGAAACACCACTCTCCTGTTCAGCAGTTGTTGACACAATATAGGTGGAGATCAGGTCTGTGCAAGCACTGAATTCCAGAAAGGCAAAATGTGTGCAAACACTCCAGAAAAACCTGACAAGAACAGACCAAATCCAGGCCTGCGAAAAAGAAAAACTACTGGGTTATTTTTTATTAATGAATTGTGATTTTTCACAACATTTTAAAGGAAACTACACAACAAAATTCAAAACCGACAGAGGAATGTCTTTTTTCTTTTTTTCCATTGTATAAATATTCCTATTGTTCATCTATAACCTCAGGGGTATAGAGTGTGTTTGGTCTAAAACACCTTTAAAGGCCAAAGAGGCTGTCACTACAGCACCCTGACAGAAAACACTGGGATTGGGTGCTTCAGGGCACAGGGTTAGTCTTGGTGTGGCACAGAAAAAAAAACCTTGGAAAAGTCCACCTTTTTAATATTCTTTAGCACAATTCCTACATTCCCTTTTTTCAATACAAAATCCTGAGAGAAATAAGATAAATAAAAAAACGGACATCCATGTGATCTCTTGTACAGTATAATGAATGTTGAAATTTCAGTGTGATTCTCCCATAGGCCGTGACAACCCAAAAAAAACCTAAAATGCAATTTTCCTTGCCTTTTGTAACGACCAAAAAAAAAAAAAAAGATGTGAAAGTCACTATGGGTCATAATGGACAGATGGCTGGGACTTTCCCAACAAAACTGTCTGACTTCCTAATTTATAAAGGTAAAGTATGGATGTCTTAAGATGCTCATTGGACCTTTTTTCTTTTCCATATATCTTTTGGATTCAGACTGGAAAGCAGGGGAAGGGAGCCCCAGTTTAGCTGATACTTTTATAAAGTAGCCAGCCACATGTCCACAAATCTACTCTTCCTGCTTTTAAGACTTTCATAAAAGCAGCCTTATTGACAAAACAATCTATCGTTGATGTTTAAACACCATCTTTAAAGGTATTATTAAATTACATCAGGAAGAAAAGAATGGACAATATGTGAAACCCGATGACCCCTCAATTGATTTTAGATCACTGGTGTTTATAGAGTGTTCTCAGAATGTCTTAGCTTTTACAGTTATACCAAGCAGCCCTCTTTGCATTAATCTACAAAGACTTTTTTTAATATTGCTACAGTTTAAAATGCTGTCAGACTGCCAATTCGCTGACACTAGTTTAATCTCCCTGTTTACTGCTACAATATTGCACTACATTTGCCAAGAACAGATATTTAAACTGCTGACACTTCAATCACCTGTTACATGAAGCTAAAAGGAAAGATTTTATTGAATTTGAATATGTATTCTATTAATACAGATTTACTGCACTTAATATAATAAATCAGAATTTTTCACTTTTATGACAATAGACATACTCTACATACACACTAAAGAAAACCTGTTTGCTTTGAGTCCAAAGCCAGACGTCATCATTAATAAAAAAGACAGTTGTCTCTTCTGAAAAGCTGGTATTTTATCTTAACCAGAAAAAAAGTGATTAAGACAACATTACCAATGTAATACCTTAGGATCAGAGTTATTTGAAACTTACACATTCTGCAACATATAATAAAGGAAGCAAAATCATTTAAGGCTTCTAAGAGGAGAAAAAAAAGATTTTCTTATTTTGTTTTTGTCAGCAGGATTGCTTCTTTTTATGATCCTCAAGCCCAAAATAGTTTTGTTACAACAGCACTTCTAATTTGATAGACAAATTTATGTTAAAAGGAAAGCGAGGGTACAGACGACAACGAAGAATATCTCATTAGGATGACAGATCTGTTAACTGGCTGGGGAATTCAAGAAAATGTCTGCTGCATTGCATTCATGTGATTTTTACCACAAAAAGCCAGTTAATGTAATGTATGTTGCTTTTACTGTGACAGCACCTAGTGCTGTTTTCCATGCTTGTGCAAAATGACCAACTACAGCTACCAGCCTCATTAACTGACATGTTTCCCTGTACATACCTGATTGGTGAAGCTAAATAAAGGCGCAGAACAGTTCTTTATCACAGCTGATAAGATACAAAGTGCTATACCATTCAGCTCCTGTTTTGTTTTTGGAGCTCTGGCTCTTTGCTCTGATAAACAACAAGCACCTGGGAGCAGTCTGCCAGTGCAAACATTCAGTCAAATCATGCTCTACGCTAGACATTCCCTTGTCCTCCACCCAGATGTTACTCTTTGCGTTTCTAAATCTCAGATAGCTCCACCCAGATGTTACTCATTGGACAGCCCCACCCAGAGCCCTTGTCTCCTCCCAGCAGCAGGGCCAAGCGACATAACGCTGGTGTGTGCGTGGTGTGTCTCTGTGTGCATTTTAAATATATATACACTTTTCATGTATTCCCTCATGCTGTGTTCCTGCCAATAATTTATGAGTGATCTGCACCCAGTCTGCCCTTTAGCATTTTTATTTGATCACAACAGCAGTGATTTACAGTGCTTCATCATGAATAATAAAAATAAATCTACTTGTGTGTTAACAAGTTTTGGAAGAACAGGGTATAGTTTATTTTTTGCCTTTTTCTTTTTAAGGAAGCAGCAATCCTGTACCCACACTTTTTGTATAAAGTGCACCAGCAGTCAAAGAGATCTTGTTAATACTACACCTGTTTGACGTAACACTCTCAGTAACCCTCTGGTAAGTTCTTAAAATATCAGCAAAGAAAGTGATAAACATGGCAAGAAATAAATAGATCACTTTAAGTAAGTACAGTACATAACAATTATGGACGGTTAATCACATCTAAAAAAAGGTGATAATCCTGATTCAGGCAGTACTCAGCTAAAAGGAAGACATCACAGAATGAAATGAAAGTTTGCAAAGCAGCAGGTTTATGTTTCTTGGGATCAAAACAGTCACTTAATAAAATGTACAGGGCAGTTTCTGCTGTCTCTCTGTAATGTCACAACAAGGCGTTGTTGTGCTTGAGTTAAAAATAAAGCTTGGGTTTGCACCCTGACTAGCTTATGAAAAGCAAAACCTCTTCTAGGGAAACAGCCTTTTACATCATCAGGTCAGGAGGTAATATCACCAGGGTTGCCATGGAGACACCCAATTGTGGGCTCTGACCGAATGCAACGGCAGACTTCTAAACTCAAAATCCCTTCCAAATTCCAGCCTACGGTGTGCTCCTTTTCCCTGTTTACACTCCAAGAGGCTGACTGATCCTGGCAAGCAAGTTCAATAGCTAATACCCCTTAGATTAACAAAAAAACGAAGCAGCTCAGCAGCCACACTATTACAGTCCTTATTCCCTGATCAGCCACACACAGATGCATTGAAATCATTTAAAAAAAAAAACGAGTGATAACGTGACTGGCTGTATACTGACTTCAGAACCCTGTCTAACACAGCTGAAAAATTGATCTCCCATGGGTTGCTGTAAGGTCATAGAAATTGATAACCCCAACAAGCTCCCCTTATGTCAGTCTGCCTGTGTCCTACCGATAGTGCACTTTGTAAATTAATCCTCCAAAGGCAAATATATTGTAAGCAGCTAGTCATCTGTAAGGTACTAAATTGAACAATACATGGGATTATGTTGACAGAAATTACATTTTCTGTAATGGGGTTTAATATATCTGAAATCTCTCCCATTGGCCCATGGTCTCTATAACCCAGCAAGGTTTGTTAATGCAGGTGATGCATACATCAAGGTCCAATTTATTCAGCAAAATGGATTAGGCCATGTAATCAGAGCCTTAGCAATATTAATCTCTGACACTTATTGAATGAGAGAAAAAAAAAACTTTCTTGTTGCTGCTAGCAAGCTTTCAGAGGAGTTTCTGCCTGCACTCTGAGCGTTTTATGGCATTTCACATCAAACGAACTGGAGTTTCCCCCATCAGACACTTGTGCACAATGTTTGGGCAATTAATTCGACACACTCACTAACAGTGGGTGTATCAAAACACCTCTCTGATAAGTAGAGGGCAGAAGGTTTAAAAACCAGACTAAACGACTGTTTTCACGGTGATGCAAATCATTTCTTGTTAGAAAAATTTATTGCCTAACCCCTCATCTAGGATCGTATTATTATTATTATTATTATTATTATTATTATTATTATTATTATTATTATTATTATTTCTCAGAACATTGCAATGCAAGACTTTTGTAGGGGGTGGGGTCTTATCTGAGTGGAATGGGATTAATTAGATGGGAATTCATATTAGTATAAATAAACTTATGTCCTACATCACTGGAAAAATTCTACAGGCAATATCCCTTTTGGATTAATTGATTCCAAGGGAGTTCAGACAGTAAATGGAAAAGGGTGAGATGAAGAATGAAGGGGGGGGGGCGGGTGTTGTATTAATTCAAATCATTAGCTGCACATTGCCAGAGGCTGGAGTATTGATTGCATGTAAACACAAAAGCCAAATTACTTACCAGTTGTTCACTTGTAGTATAGTGAGCCCTGTATCTTGTGCCAACTGCTTCTTCTGTTCTTCTGAGGGGTAGGGGTGCTAAAAGATAACAGAACAACAACAAAATAAATAAATCAATTAAATAATTAATAGTTTCATTAATTAAACACATTTTGAAAAAGGAAAAACATAGCTTCTGCTATCAGCACTATGGAAGAGTCTCAAACCAGTCATTAATTAGTGTGAAAAGCGAGGTGTGTCTCTTTCTTAGAATCATTAATGGAATATGAAATCATGTAATTAATGGCAGCAAAAGGCAGGCCAATTATAAAGTTAAGTGAAGTGTAGAAACAGCTACATTAATTAGGGTACTGGCAGAACAACCTCACTCAAATTTATTCTAGACAGTCTCATTTCTCAGCAGCAGTAGGAAGACATGAAAAACTATATTTAATATTGGATTGTATGGAATACAGAACAAATATTTAAATAGTCAAGAATTTTGCTTCGAATGTATTGTTCTACTTTGAAAGGCACTGCATTCACAGTTCAGTACATCGTAATTCTCTCACCTAAACTTAATATGACATCTTCATTTTTCACAATACTCCACACACCAGCCATGAAACCACTTTTTTGTAAAAGGGACTTTTTCAAAATAGCCAAATTTGCCATTATTTTCCTAAACGTTATTTTATAAACAATGTATTTATGTAAAACCCCATTGCTTTTTTTTAATTGCAGGGTGCACATTTCAATATACCACATAGTTCTAGACCTGATGTTACAATTTAGGACGTTTTCAACAATGTGTACTTCACATTCAAGGCAAGGATTCAAGAAAAGAATTTATGAGCTGTATAAAACAAATTTATATCTGAATAAACATTAATAATGAAAAAAACACTTTTAAAACAGAAAGACTTTCAGCTCGGAAAACACATTGAAGTTTCACAGCCATAAAGCACTGTTTATTTGAGGGGCTATGTTTATAATATGCTACATCAACACAATAAACTGCTTTACGGTGACAATTTTCAGTCCAGCTCTTCATGAAATGGGTCAGTGGTCAAACCCCTTGCTGCGTTTGCAAAGGCAGTCTGAGACCCAGCATTTTAAAACCATTACCTCCCAAAGCATGGCTGGATTAGCTGCAGGAAAATTAAACTCAGGAACCTGCATTGCTAAAAGCCATCACCCCACACGTTTGAAGCACTGTCAAGAGCTCACTCAGGTGGCATTAAACAATTTGTAAAAACCACTTGCTTCTGGTTATTTAAAAGATACACAAGCCTATTGTTCATGCAATGAACACTGTATATTTGCATTATTCTTCTGAACATTTAAAGCAGGTAGAGTATTGCAGAGGTACTTGAAAAAAACTTTAATAGTCAGGGAACAGGCACTACCAAGCATAAGACTGCCTAGGCTAAGAAGCCATTCAAAATCACAATACATAAGTAATCAAAAACTGTTTATACACATTACTTTTAATATTTGACATACTATTTTGATTTAGAGCAAACCTAACATGACACATTCAAGAGGTTTCTTTTCAAATTTCTGAATCCAAAACTAGACTTTAAATTCCGATAACATATCCAAATTTTCCTTGCACCAATGGAAAATATATTCCTACAACATTTCTGAATCTCTTCAGTAGAATTTGCGCTGCATGTAATATGAATCATTTACAAATGTAAGCTGTGGACATGGGTCTCTGTGAAGACAGATGATTTCAAATGTGACCCTTTTTCTTTCTGGGATCACAACCTAGAATGTCTGTAAAGGGCTTTCTATTGAGCTTATTTACAGGAATTGAAAAAAATAAGTTTTATATTTGTATCATTCTTTTTTGTCATTTTCATGTGATCTGATTGTAGGTACTTGGAACAAACTGTGTCTAATTTCTTGCTGAATGTTATAATTGCAATGTTGCCCCCAGCTAATGGAATGGAGAATTCTTGCCTCCATACAGCAATTTCCAATGTTTAGGATTTTCTTTTCACAGTGTACTGGGGTAATTTTAGCCACCTTAATAATGAAGTCACTGTAAGGAAAATGACTGCTTTAAAATGTGAGAAAACAACATTCCTGAGGCATGGTTTATTTAGAGTCATCTGATCGCTTAATACTCTGACAATTGGCTTAGAGCACTTTAGACTTTTTCTGAAACATATATAATTGTTCTAATCACATGAATGCCATGACTTCATGCAATTAGTTCTTTCATCTTAACCTTTTTTTTTAAAGATGTAACTCTCTGCCCAAATTTATTTTATGGCTAAATCTTTTTTAAACTTAGTGCCTGAGAATCTGTCTTTTGTTACTTTCCAAAAAATAAAACGACAGAAAAAGATACCTCATGACTTGAGGACAAACCAGTATGCCACAGGCAATGATACTGTACAAACATTGCCTGTTCTGTTGCTGTCCCACCCACATGCTCAGAGAGGCCTACACTAGAAATCAGCCAGACATTATGCCAAAGACATGCAAGATAAAGAGGAAACTGTCGCCGTTTTCTTTTTCTTACCAAAGCCAATATTAAACAGCCTTCTCTGACTTATCACCAACAATCCCTCTATTTTAAAGCATTTATAACCCCTAATGATTTTTAATTGGGCTCAAAAACTTTTCCCACCATATGCTTTCATACTGGTACATTTGACTGACCTGTCACTATAACACAGAATAAGCTAACAAGTCCACTGCTGGTTAAATATTTAACATGCACATCACTTATCTAACACACATTATCACCGCAATCAACTCAACCTATCTGAGTCACAATTTACTGTTGTCCAATAATTGATTTGGGTGATTTGGACACTAATTTGTTGTGTGAACATGCCATTCCCTCTTTAAAGTTTTATGATTTGCAAACAATCAGAGTGGGTAAGTCTACTCAGAGTGAAGCCTGAGGGACAATGGCAATGCAATATGAGGGCGAACAAATGCACATCTCAAAATTCCTAGGAGAACAAACAACCACATAAGAGCAAGAAACAGTACACAGGAGAAACAACCTTCTTTTTGATCCTGGTGCTCTACTTCTGGCTGTAGATGAGCACTCGTTGGACAAGACTGTGAGTCATAGGTCTGTACACAGTAATGTAAGCAGAGTATGACCTTCACTGAATTAATCCAACAAGCATGCATTTTGGGAAAGCCAAACAACAGTTTTGTTTTAAAGACTGGGGGGAAAATTGTGAAGCAAAAGAGGGAAACCATTTCCAAAACACAACAGAATCTCAACAGTTTTAAAGGCAATGTGTGAAAATACAACCATCTAAATATTTGCTGGAAAGCCAAAATATCAGCCTAGGTGCCAGCCCTTTACAAAAAGACGAATGCAACCTGAGATAAAGAAACTTCCTAAAAAAAATAGAAAACCGAAACGGCTCCTAATTTTAGGCTTGACTAGATTTCCAAAATACAGCTGCTCCAGGCTTTGTTTTACGTGACAGTCAATCATGAGAATCTTCACACGGGTCACCTCCTTTGCGTATCATTTCCACATGACCTGACCTTTGTTTCTTAACAGTTCCCAAGGAACCACACCTTGTGCCATTAGAAACAGGAATCGCCAAGTTGATAAATCAGAAACCGCATCACATGGTAAACGTGAAAGAAGATCACTGCACACTCAGGGCTTCTCATGCAATAAATACACAGAATTCTGTGTGACTGTTCAGTTGTCTTCAATTATGTGTGAAATCATGAGTATTCTTATGTAGGCAGGTACGGCATAATTCCTTGTCGAGTCAAATTTACGGCACATCTTTTTTAAACACGTAATCATACTTCACTATGAACTGTATGTGGGCTTTTCCTTATTCATAAAAACATTAATCTTAAATTTAATGATACTGTGTATATGATTCTTACAAGTATACAGATCCCACAAGTGACTGTATCTATGTGCCTAAAAGTCATTAAAAGTTAAAAGAATATTATTTTCTCACTCTTTCTGGAATACTATTCATTCATTTTCTGAAACACTGAATCACAAAATAATATATAAGCCCAAGATTTTGTACTTGAACTAAGTTACATCAAAACATACCAAACAACACTGGAAAATAGTTTGGTGTTGTTGATGTTCTCGTCTAAGAATTATTTCGTTCTTGGCAATTATTGTAGGTTTAAGTGTTTTCTCAGGCTCAAGCGATGCTTTGAGAAACACATCTAAAGCACAGATGGAAAATTTCCAGCCTCCTATCTTAATGATACTTCTTGTCCAAATGTTCTCCTTTCATCAGAATTTCCACCAGTGTCTGCAATTATGGATGCCAGAATGGCGATACACTTTTTCTATCTTATCTTCCTCGTGTAGCTGAGTATCAATAACATTCCCTCCCTGGCTGCCCTACCCTCTCTGACAACCCATGGCTACAGCTGTAGAGAATTTCAAAATAATCCTGCCCGGAGACTGTCATGGAGATAATGGCAGCCTATATAGTCCCTCTCCACTCTCAGAATATCTACACTGCAAATTTAATGTGACACTGGCTGGTGAAACCACTGTGGAACATTTAATAAAGCAACGCGCTGGTAAAAGCTTTTTCCCTGGCTGGCCCCGCCCCCACCCCAAAGAAACATGTCACTTGCTGGAAAAACAGAAGAGAATGGAAAGGAAAAAAAAAGTATATTAATCGATGGGTTATACTTTAAAAGGTTTTGGAAAAAGGCCGCAACACAGAGGGAGGACCCCTGGACGATCTCCAACTTGCCCCTTATCGAGGCAGCGTTCTGCTACTTGGCTCACTGGGTTGGGAGAGTAATTTCGGAAGTTCTTTTATCCCTTTTCCTCCTTCTCTCCTCCTCCGCAGCGAAGTTGAATGCATTAATATAAGCTGACCTTGAGGTAAACTCTGGTATGTAATGAACAGATCCTCCCTAAAACCCTTGTACATCCATTTAACTACTTAATTGCAATTTCCCCACCCCCACCACCATTATCAACAGTGGCATTAAAGTTATTAAAAAATATATATTTCAAGGAATGTTCTTTTTTTACACCGAGTGATTCAGATTAAAGAGTCTTTCTCCACCAGGTTAGCTTAATAAAATTAGTGCCTGGTGAAAACACTGTT